GGCCAACATGGTGAAACCCGTCTCAACTAAAAATGCAAAAAAATTAGCTGGGTGTGGCGGTGGGCGCCTGTAATCCCAGCTACTTTGGGAGGCTGAGGCAGGAGAATTGCTTGAACGTGGGAGGCGAAGACTGCAGTGAGCCAAGATCACGCCACTGCACTCCAGCCTAGGTGATAAGAGAAATTCTGTCTCAAATATATATATACATATGTATATACATATGTATATATATAATTTAGGTAGAGTACATGCTAGTTTTTAGTATTGGTTCATTTATCTGATTGTATTTTTTACATTTAGGCAACTCAAAAAATGGGGTTTTGAAATGCTCAAAAATCTGAAACTTTCTGAGTGCCAACATGCCACTCAAAGGGGATTTTGGATGCTCAACCTGTGTAATATTAAAAAAAAAAAAAAAAAAAACCCCAAATCTGAAACACTTCTGATTCTAAGCATTTGGGATAAGGGATATGCAACCTGCAGTATTTCTTGGCATTTAGTTATATGCTTATTGGAATATATGTGCCAAACGATGTGTTGGGCTTTAGAGAAATCAGTAGTATTGCATGGAGATTCCTGAGATGTGATGTCTTTAGCAGTCTATAAGGACCATAAAAGCTGGGAGAAGGCTAACGCCCTTTTCGGCCTTAGCCCACCTGTACCCAGGTGGGGAAAAAAAGAAAAAAAAAGCTGGGAGAAGAATTATGCCCAGTGGTGAAATGGGACCGAGGGAAAGAAGAGCAGTTAGTGTAAAAACTGGGAGAATCTGTGGGGAAGTATAAGCATTCAGATTGGTTAGAAAATAGCAAGAAAGAGAAGGCCTAAGAAAGTCTTAGCAGAGACTTTAGATGAAGGTCTGACTTATTTCACTAAGAGTCGGCTCATCTGAATGAACCTGCTTCTTCAACTATAAAGAACAGGCCATACTATTTGTGAAAAGCACACAGTCCAAAAAAAAAAAAGGCCAGTAATGTTATGAGGAACTAAATGGGACTCTGCCCAGCCAAGTGCCTAAAATAGTGCTTGGGTGGAAAACAAGTACCAAATTCTCTTGTCTTTCTTTGTATATGGGTATCTAGCTTACAGGTAAAAGAGTGAATGCTAATGTATGGCTATCTAGCTAAAACTGCAGCTCTTCGCTGGTTGGTTCCACCAGAGCTGACAAGTCCAACTCTCCAAACTTGAGGCAAAGTAAGATTGCATCATAGATTTGCTGTGAGACTAGATGATAAACAAATCTCTTAGTCACTCCCTGGAATACAGCAACAACTCAGCAGATACTAGCTTTTATGATGGCTACTTTTAGGTCCATAAATCTTTATCTGCTCTTCTCAATCCAGAGACCTCTGAAAATGAAAGAAACTTTCCCAAGTTTGGCAGAAAACTTACATGGTGGCAAAACTTGACCTGAGACTATTTATAGTTTCTATTAGGCCCCACTTAGAATGAATGTTCACATCTATTTCGGCAAATATTAATGTTGGATTATGCGGTGTCCCACTCTGCTGGGGGTGTTAATCTCTTGTCTAATATGTTGTCTTTCTAAAAAGATAAAGATAAAACCTAAGGATTTTTGAAATCAAAACCCACTAGCTTCAAGAGTTTCAGCTAAGAGACTGGGGATGGATATTATCCATTCCTCCTGGAAAGAGGAACAGAACATTCCAATATCTGCAATTCCTTCCAAAAGTTTCTGAAGCAAACTTGCTTTGCATTGCGGGCTCAGAGATGCCGGCATGAAAAATTTCTATTCTTCCCCCAAAGAACAGCATTGAACAAAGAACTCAGGAAATGTTTCTGAAGGCTACCTTTGCCTGTAATAAGGGTTCGTTTTCAAAACAGACCTTTACAACTCCCAAGTGTGTATTTCTCTAGCAGTAAAGGTAAAAAAAAAATTTTCAGTCGAGTGATTCTGGCCTGATGCTTTAACACTGGAATCTTTTACCTACTAAAAGCTGTACTCTTGGTTTTCAAGGTAAAGAGGAAAATGCTCCAGCTATGTATAAGCTGTCGTAGGTATGTGCGCCTCAGTCCTAAAAAAGGAGATCACTGAACATCTGCCCTTCTCGTGGTTTGCCCTGGGTATTCACCTAATGTAGCCGTGAGCAATTCCTCTAGCAAGTCATAACCAGAACGTTGTCACACTGCGGATTATTAACAAGCGTACGAGATTCTTAGAATCTTTTAAGGCCTTTCCCTTTTTATTAGAAATTAATGAATGGGTATAATGGAGTGTGGGTAGTGAGGAAATCGGGGCCAAGGGGCACGAGGCCGGCAGCCCTTTAGGGACGCACAAACAAAGGGAGTCCGGGATCAACCAGAGCGAACCGGCCTCGGAGCGGGTCGCGCCCGCCGAGGAGTGGGGGAGGGGCCGGCCCGCGCCCGCCCCGCCCCGCAGCCAGATCTGACGTCAGGCGCCCAGAAACCCGTCGGCCGCGACGTCAGCGGCCTCCGAAGCCTTCTCCCTGGGGGGCGATCCGGAGGCAACCCGCAGCGTGGTGGAATACGACCGAGAGAACCCCTCAGCTCCGGTCCCAGGGAGGCGACCACGGCCCGAGCACTGGACGTAACTCGACGCACCTCCGTTACCGCGTCCGCTCCCCGCTTGGCCGCGCCCGCGGGATCCGCAGCCCCAGCTCCCCGATTCCCCTCCACGACTCCCACCAGTACCGAAGCAGCCTCACCCGGCAAGATCCGAGACCGCAGTAGGGTCTAGAAGCGGCGATGGGTCCGAGGGACTGGGCCCTGAAGAAGCGGGCGCAGCCTGACTGACGGCGGCGAGAGCAGCGGCGGCAACAGCAGCAGCAGCGCGCGACTCCTCCTGGCGCCGGAACAGGAAGCGCCAAGCGCACCGCCTCCGCCCGCGCACCCCCTCCCCTCGGGCCGTGCCGCGTGCGCCCCCCGCAGGCCTCTGGCGGTACTGCGGCCCGCCGGACCTGGGGGGCTGGGATCCACCTGGCCCCCGCCCGGGGCCTCTTTCCCCTGGTGGGCGGGCTGAAAGCTCCCGGAGTTTCCGGAGTTCCGAGGACTCGGAGGAAATGCCAGTGGCCTGCAATATTCAGGGCAGCCCGGCGGAAATTGCTAACTTGTCTTGAGTGGCTTGAGGGCTGGTTCTGAATTCCCTTTGCTCAGCGGTTTTTACAGCCAGGCCTCGAAGAAGGCTGGGTACGGACGCGTTCAGATTTCAGCCTGACCAGAGGACTCAGATACTGGGCCACAAGTGGGGAGAGGGAAAAGATTAATTCAGGAAAGGGAAGACGTTTGCAAATTAGCTTGATAAATTGACGTGTTGTCTTTGCACATTTTTCCTCATCAGTGCCTCTTCTCCCATGTTTTGTTGTTGTTGTTTTTGAGACGGGCCTCTGTTACCCAGGCTGGAGTGCAGTCGCGCGATCTCGGCTCGCTGCAACCTCTGCCTGCTGGTCTCAAGCGATCCTCCCATCTTAGCCTCCGGGTAGCTGGGACTACAGGCGTGTGCCACCACACCCGGTTGATTTTTGCATTTTTGGTAGAGATGGGGTCTCACCCTGCTAGCCTCAAGCGATCCCCCCCACCCTTCGACCTCTCAAAGTGCTGGTATTACAGGTGTGAGCCACTGCGCCTGGCCCTCATGTTCATTTTTGAATAAACATCATCTCCTGTGTCAGGCACAGATGACATGATGACCCCAGTCAAGGAACCTACTAACTAGGTTAGAAGATGTGATAATTATATGGTGTGCAAAATATATACATATATGCAATATACTTTTTTCTTTGAGACGGAGTGTCATGTCTGTTGTCAGACTGGAGTGCAGTGGCGTGATCTCGGCTCACTGCAACTTCCACCTCCCGGGTTCAAGTGATTCTCGTGCCTCAGCCTCCGGAGTAGCTGGGACTACAGGCGCACTTCACACGCCCGGCTAATTTTTGTATTTTTAGCAGAGACGGAGTTTCACCATGTTGGCCAGGATGGTCTCCATCTCTTAACCGCGTGATTGGCCTCCCAAAGAGTTGGGATTACAGGCGTGAGCCACGTGCACGGCCAATATACATTTTTTTAACATGTAAAAATATCCTAAAAGTATGTTGTACAGTTGCATCTTGCTTTGTGTAAGGCATTAGTGGGTCAGTGGGTGGACATTTAACTATGAACTTGTTTAAAGGAAGACATCTCTGGATGTGTTTCATAACACACAATTCTCACACTGAAAACAGGGCAACAGAGGAACTCCAAATACCTAAGCCAAGGGTCTTATTTTTGGATAAGGGTACACAGGCCTATGGAAAATTACACGAGTAGTGTGGACCTACCCTGTCCTCATTGGATAGTGAATCAGCAGTGCCGTGTGGAGCTATGCTGAAGCCTGAAGCAACCGGAAGTCAGTAATCTGGTCAGGTTTGATTTTAAATTTGGTATCTTGCTCATCATATTTTTTTTTTTTGCATCAATTCTGATTTTAGAATATTGCACCAAAACATTGTCTTCCTTAGTCTTTTAGTCAGATATTTGTGCCCAAGTGTCTCACCATACCCTAGTCCTGGTGCTGTGTACCAGTAATGGATAGCCTCCAACTTATCCTTGCCTGCAATCAGCTAGTAGCTGAGCACGTTTTGCGGGGAGGGTCTAGATCTAGGCCATTCCTGTCCCCTGTGGACTTGTCTATAAGCAACCTTTGCTTGGGAACCAAGTCCTCATCTAGCAGTCTGAAGGTGGGTGCACTTTAGTCCGAGGCCCACCCTACCCAATCCTTCCGGTGTCAAGACTTTCAGTGTGGTATGAAAAATTCCCACCTTCTGCTCGCTTCTCCTTTATCTTTATAGGTGTTTCACTCCAAATAAATCTCTTGCACCTCTAATCACATCTTGGCATCAGCTTCTGGAAGACCCAACCACTAAAAATTAAAGGAGTGTATTATAAATTAGAAAATATGTAAGAATATGGATTTCTCTTTTTCAGATTCTAATTTGAATGTGTGAAGTAAAGACATATAATAATGTTTTAAAATAAGACACAAAGCCTTTGGATTTTACATAGGAAGTTTTAATTAAGAAGAAATGAAAATTTATCCAGATCAATTTATTCGAACTTACATCCAAGAAGAAATATTCAACTTAAGGATTAGAAATAAAAGTGGCAATTGTCTACTTCTTTCGTGGTAAGTAGTAGATCATACAAGCCTGATGACAAGAGTAATAGCTTTGTGAAAACTGTATATTCGAGTACATATGAACTCATACTTGGCTTATACAGAATTTATCCAATTCTAGCAAAGTCAGCATAATTTAAGTAAACCTCCTTGAGTTTTACACCATGGCTCTCAAGTCTGAAAGCTTAGATTTGATTATAACCATGGCAAAAGTGATTATCTTTATTTTCTGAAAATGTAATCAACTTTTAAAATAAGTTAGGCAAACATCAGATTTACATAGACCATATGAAGGATAGGAGGAAATTGCAATTGTTCCTGTAATTGCAGAGCCTAAACCATAAATTCAAATTGTACTGCTATCTCTACTATTAAAACAAGCCAAGAAAGCCTATTACAGTCTAAGAGAAGTGAATGTGATTCTGCAGGGTCCACTAAGGAAGTATTTTGAAAATCTATCATCACATTAGTACTCAATGGCTGTACAGCAGTTATTTTAAAGTATGCTCCCAGGGTCACCTCTTGCTGAAAAATTAACCTCCAGGAAGTAGAGTGACAAGTATCATCCACATTTTATAGGAAATAAACGCAAAGAAGATTTAGGACTGAGTAATCTATTCAAAATTAGAAAGAAAAATATAGACTTTGGCTTTATTTGAAAATCCCTATTGGGTTATATGCACTAATCTGCATTTCAACTTCCAAGCCAATCTATTTAAAAAAGTTACCTCCATTTTGTGTCTAATATTTTACTGTATAAGAATAGTACAGGTGGACTCTTGCACTGCTTATATTTAGTAGGCCATTAATAAAGAAAAACTTTTGTGCTTTCTGTTCTTTCCTTAAAATAAAAATGTAAAACTGACTTTTTTCCTCCAAAGTAGAAACAGTAGTTTGCTTGACTTAAAATCTTTTATTCACTTGTGCATTACATTACCTAACATTACACAGGCTATTCTACATTTAAACATTGTTTTTCTTGTGTTGTCTCCAGGAATGTTTTATAATTTTGTTTACTTTCCTTGAAATTTGCTTTACCAAAATGAATGCTTAAGCTGTTTATTGGATTTCAATTATAGCTAAGAGTGACAAGAAATCTTTTTAATGAAAAATAAATATAAGAGTTAGATCTTGGCCAGGCACGGTGGCTCATGCCTGTAATCCCAGCACTCTGAAAGGCCGAGGTGGGTGGATCACCTGAGGTCAGGAGTTCGAGACCAGCCTAGCCAACATGGTAAAGTCCCATCTCTACTAAAAATACAAAAATTGGCTGGGCATGGTGGCGGGCACCTGTAATCTTAGCTACTTGGGAGGCTGAGGCAGAAGAATTGCTGGAACCTGAGAGGCGGAGGTTGCAGTGGGCTGAGATCATGCCATTGCACTCCAGCCTGGGCCGACAACAGCGAGACTCTGTCTCAAAAAACAAACAAACAAACAAATCAAACAAACAAAAGAACTCTCAAGGTTTTTGTTTCATAGGAAGGAAGCTCTCTATTGCATGGATCTATAAAATGATCCAAACTTCAGAGACAGGAAGCTGATAACTGGATTTATCTGCTTAATGGCTTTGGCTCATGAATAAATGATAATGGTTTATGTGTTTTTCTTATAAAAATAAATGGAATTTGTGTAATGATAGGAGTCCTACTTGCCACATTTGTTCTACTTATTAAAGGATTTCTAATTACTAAGACATTCTTTATATTATTTATAATTAAGAAGTCAAAACTAACTGAAAGCCATTCTTTGACCACAGTTGGCCATTAGCTGAAATTCAGGAAAGAACACAGGTTTGATCACCAAATCAATAAATCTAGCCACAGGCTGACTAAAAGCTTCCTTTAATCTTCTTCCTATTAGGTCTTCCTTTAAATTAAACCATTCCCTTTATGAATTATTTAGGTGAATGACATGGTTATAGATAGATCACATATAACTCTATACAAAAATGCCAAAGGAACCTTAAAAAGTCCATTCAGCATACTTCAGGAATTATACTATGAATCAAGATGCTGTAGGCTTAGGAAAAAAATGGGAGTGGGAGTATGTCTTGTAAAGCTTCAGAGAAAAATAGAAAAGTCAAGTTTATTTCCTGATTCGCCCAGGAAGATTCCCAAAGCGCAGTTAAGTGTCTGGTCCAGACTAGCTATTAGCGATTAAGTAGTTTCTTTTCACTGTCAAGGCTTTTCCCTGAGGTAATGCCTAAATTCCTAATTTTAATATTTGATCTTATTTCGCTTTGCTCCATTCTCTCTCATCAATAAGCTCCCCACATTTCCACCATGCTAAATGCTTTCTCAACTCTGGAATTTACACTTTTCAAATCTTCCCACTGTTCAACATAAGAGTTACAAAATTTTAGACAAATTTATACGTTCCCACATTGTTCCACTCATAGTTTACTCATTTATATAGTGCAACCAATGTATTGTTTACATTTTGTATAGGTTAGTTTCTGAATACTGGATGTTCTTCCAAGTATATCCTCACAAAGACACAGAGGATGGGGGTAACCCTTCTGAATTCCAATTCCTTAATGTTTTTTAAAAAAATTATTACTTTTATTTTCCCTTATTTCCCTTAAAAAATTCCCTTCTCAAGTCTTTATATATCTACTTTCCAAATTTCTTTTCACTGTAGCAAATACCAAAGGAAAAATAAAAATCATTTCAAAGTCAATGAATCTCTTCCCTGCTCTCATTTATTAGACCATCTACTTCAAGGCTACATATGTGGCAGTATTTTTAAGTGTTAATAGCTGTTAATACCTTGAAGTTGAAAAAATAAAAAAGCCAGAGAAAACATATCACAAGCAATCAGTTTGAATTATATGAAAAGGTACTTAGATCTTGACTTTCATATAAATACTAATTTTAACACTATAAAAGACAACATAATTATATATCATTTTTCTTTATAAAACTACCCCTTAACAGAATAGTTGTAAGCTAATCGTCCCTTAGGTTTTTCTGTACTGATAAAAAGTTATTTTTAAAAGAAAAATATTTAAAATAATTGTTTCACAGAAACAGAAAATCTTATCAAATTCTGATAAAAAACTATAATCATGGGTAGTCTACCACACTATTTTCTTTCACCAAAGATGGATATTTAGGAAGTGTCATATCGGTTAATAAGATAAGCTTCTCAGTGATCTACAAAAGCGCCACAATAAAGATGAGGTAGTATGAGACTTTTCTAACATTGCAAAAGGTAAGTATCATCTTTACAAGAGATATTTATCCTGACACTGGTGTTATGATATCCTGAGCCTCATCACTGCTGAGAGAGGTGCAATTTTTGTAGCTACATCTCATTGAGACTAAGACAATCTTGAGATCACTGAGGAAAAATAAATGATAGAAGATAATGGCAATAGAGATTTTCCTTGTTTAATTTTGTAATAATTACTAAAAATTCATTTCAAAGCTATTTTGGAAAAATGTCATCTTCATATTAACAGAAGAACTGCCAGATAGGGAAATGCTATTCACGTAAAAGCAATAATGAAGAAATATTGTTCTAAGTTGGAAGTTTATGAGTCCAATTTCTTTCAATCCAGGTAGAAGCAGTTTCCTAATATAGCTAAACTAGCATCAAGAAGTCAATTACCATATTAAAAAATGCCAATGTGTACAAAGGGTTAGACAGCTTACCAGAAGAAAAATTGTGTCTACATTTATTATTCTTTGACTCTTTAAAAAAAGAAGTTAGGAAACCACTCCATTTATTTTTACTAGTTACCTTGGGTTAAAGATGTTTCTAAAAATGTTACCCTGTTTCTGGGACAGTAAATTTAAAAGATCACCCCTTTTGTCCAGTACTGTTTTGTATGGCATAAGTCATGTAGCTGTCAAATGGCTTTCCTTTTTCTTGAAGCCACATTAAAGACCTAAGTTAATTCTGAAATAGGGATAATTATTTGGAACTTGTAGATCAAAAACAATATGAAGCTTCCTGAATACTGAGCTCCATGTTTATTTCTTGAATCTTTATCAAAGTTCAACTTAAAATAATAAAAAACTACTCAGGTACTCTTTGATTACTAGTGGAAATTTGCGGCTGCTTATAGACTGTGGAATTTCCCCAAAGTAACAGCTCAGAGTTTCTATAAAAGGGCTAAATAGAAGTAACAGTTCATAAGCTAATACAGAAAAACCCCACAATTGCTTTAGCACTTTAGTAACTACTAGCTACTAATAGTGTTATTACTATTTTCAAAGCTTCCAGTGAGAAAGAAACAAGATTACGTTTTGAAGATGGTTTAACTCTTCTAGGTTGAGGAGAAAGACCTATTTAGGAATGACAAATGATCCAGCCACATTGCAGAAGAGTAAGTGCACCTCCAGAATGTTATGTTTTCATTTGGTTCTCATCAACCAGATTAATCAAATTTAGTAATCCTGCTTTAGAGTTAATATTTAAAATGAAAACACAGCAAGCTTGACTTGGTTTTGTTACCTTTAACATCCCTAATGGTAAGTTATAAAAGTCAATAACATTAGTAGGGATGGTGAATTACAACATTCAGCTTTACTGAAGAATGTCAAACTCAGTGAAAAGGGGGATGGGGAAGTATATTTTATATAATACTACTGGCATAGATCAACAAAATATTTCACATGTAGGAAAAAACATAAGATTACCTTTTGAAGAAAAGTATGAAATACAGAATATTCAAATGTGTTTGCAATGCCTACCAAATTTCAAATATGCCTGGATCATGTATAAATTCAGGAAAGAAAAAATTTAAGTATACAATTTACACGGTAAAAACAAAAACCAAACACCTGGTTAAAAAATATCTATTTAGGCTCTAGTGTATAACCTTAAACAATTAGTGTATCATTAAAAAAATGGATTTAGAAGTAAAATTTAGGGCAGAGATTTCTCTGGATACCACTGCCTTCGTAGAAAAATTCAAAGTGGCATAAGAAAAATAAAATATTAAATGAAAATATATGTTATCATTCCCATATTCCTATCCTGTTACTAGCATTGTTGTTCTGGGGCATCAATCCTGAGTACTCTAACTTTTGATTTATAATGATATTCCTTCAGATATAATTTCATAGAAGAAGGAATTGGAAGGGCATCAATGCCATCATAAGTTGTACAGTTACAAATAACTGTTCTGCATATATGCTGCAGGGAAAAAGGGAAAGTCCGAATTAAAGGAGTGGATAGAAGTGGTTCAAAGAACATACAGGCGCTTGGGTCCTTATAATGTTCTAGGAGCCCAGTAATGTCAGGAGAATGGAAGACACAGGGATCATGTGCATCAAAGCTAAAGTTGTGATTCCACTGTTCAATTCTAGCATGAAGAGAACGACTATAGCGTCTAAAACTAACAGAGAATAAATAGTCTTCCTGTGCTGAATCTCGAAGTAAAAAGGTACCCTCTGGTTTTCCTTCCAGTAGTGCTTCGGCTGCGTATTTATCCATCACTCCCCAGTAACATGGATTGTTATTGATCTGAAGAAGGTCTGGTACAAGACAGTGGACATAATCAATCTGTGTGTGGTATTTAGGAGGTGTTTCCAACTGCAGGATTTCATCATCCAATTCCCATTTGGGTTTGTTTCTTTTTCTGGAACTTGTGCAAAGTGTTAGAATTTCATCATCGGAATCCATATCGCTATCTTCTATACTGTTATTTGAAACCAGGTTCATCACAGAGCCAGTCATAGGACCTTCTCTACATGAAATGTTGTTGGTGGTTATGACACAGGGCTGAACATTGGTATGTGAGAAACAGTTTATATTTTCTTCCACATTGCTTCGTTTTAGCTGACCATCCCTCAATTCAGTCTGAGACAAGTCTGTGCTTACCCATTCATCTGATCTGGAATTTATAGGAGCAGTGTGTCGTTTAATAAAATGCCACCTAAAGGCTAAATCTGATCGAGGTGGGAAAGGACACTTATCTAACATGAGTTCACTGATATGAATTTTCCTTTTAGATGGAAGCCCGGAAGAGTGCCGACTACTACAATTCTTTATTGGAAAACACTGCCCCACAGCATCCTGCAGTTTCTGTTTAAGAGATCGGCCTAAAAATCTATGCCCACAGGAATGATCTAAGTCCAACTCAATGGATGAACAGCTGTGCTTCCTTTCTTGGTTCCTTAAAGAAACTTCAGTTTTCTCTATATCATTCACTGTTTCAGCATCTGAACAACTCTCACTCTTTTTTGACCAAGATAACTTCTTTCCACTCCACACATAACCGTCTTTTCTGTCGGCACTTCTGCTCCGACTAGTTTTGGGCCTTACATCTACATTTTTACTAATATTTTCATTATTTTCTGCCATTTTAACAAATTATCCACAAATTCTAATGTTATAAATACTGCTTTTTCTATTTTTCCAGCAGGAAGTTTCTTCTGGGCATTTTCTGGATGTATCTAAAGGAAAAAAAAAGCCATTAACCATTTGTCATCTACCTTGTCTAGTTTACATATTAAGCTTCAATTAGACACAAGAGGAAAAAGCATGGTTAGTACACGAAAAAGTTTGTTCCCACTTAAATAAAATGCTATATAATATATATGATAACTTAATAGTGCCATAAAGTGAAGAGAGTTCCTTTCTCATAGCTAATTTTCAGTGTGACACAGAAAAAGCCAAGCCTCCTCTATCAACCATAATAAATGTGCAAATCTTAATAGTTTCTAGTCTGGAGTATACCTTATGCTTATCTCTCCTTACCACAGTTTCCTTATTTCACAGCAGATCAGTGAATTATTTGTAGGAGACAGACACAAATCCATGAGCTGGTGTTTGAAAACTACTACCCTACACAGTTCCTTCACCTTCTCCATATTTCCTTCCCTACTGATTAAAATATGAACAATTTTAAGTTGTAAAGCTGTAAGAATTTGTTAAATAAACAATCACCACTGAACAACAGAAATGCCCAGTAAGCATTGTCAATGCAGTGTTTTAAACTCACTTCAATAACTGGTCAACTTTACTATTAGTTCAGGCAATTTTTAGAAAATAGAAAATTGGATAAAAATTTGCCATTTTAAACACATACGCCTTTGTATTCTTGATATTTGAAAATACAATCAGATAAATTTCTATAAGGCACTGCCTTTCCTCTGAAGTTGGTAAAACATACTCTAATTTGCAATGTAAAATACCGAGTTTCATGTAGACTAATAATGATTGTAAACGGAATTTACTTTGGGAGGCCTAGGCAGGTGGATCACGAGGTCAGGAGTTTGAGACCAGCCTGGCCAATATGGTGAAACCCTGTCTCTACTAGAAATACAAAAATTGGCCAGGCACGGTGGCTCACACCTGTAATTCCAGCATTGTGGGAGGCCAAGGCGGGCGGATCACGAGGTCAGGAAATTGAGACCATCCTGGTAACATCGTGAAACCCTGCCTCTATTAAAAAAAAAAATTTAAAAAAGGGGGGAAAAAAAAGAAATACAAAAATTAGCCAAGCATTGTGGTGGGAGCCTGTAATCCCAACTACTCAACTCAGGAAGCTGAGGCAGGAGAATTGCTTGACCCAGGAGGCCACGTTGCAGTGGTCTGAGATGGCACCACTGCACTCCAGACTAGGTGACAGAGCAAGACTCTGTCTTGGTGTAGGGGTAGAAAAAAAAAGATTTAGGCCAGGAACTGGGGAAAGGGGTCCTATAATCTCAATTTTTTTGCAAATGAAACATAAATTTTGTAACTAAAAAAAAAAAAAAATCCCATCATACTCAACAGTCTGATATGATTAAGTTTGATTATGTCAGAGGAAAATTTTAAAAATCCCAACAGTCAAGTAAATGTCTACAGACTCTTGAATCCATTTTCAAAGTAGTAGAATTTGAAACAAGTATCTGTATTGGAAAATATGACTGGCAAGTGCTTAAAAGTGTGAACTAATAATAAAGACTTGCCATATAAAGAACACTATTTCTAAGGCTGGGTGCAGTGGCTCACGTCTGTATTCTCAGCATTTTGGGAGGGTCGATTGCCTGAGCTAAGGAATTTGAGACTAGCCTGGGCAATGTGGCAAAACCCCATCTCTAACAAAAATACAAAAAATTAGCTGGGTGTGGTGGCACACGCCTGTGGTCTCAGCTACTTGGGAGCCTAAGGTGGGAGGATTGCATCAGCTTGGGAGGCAGAGGTTGCAGTGAGCTGTGATTGTGCCACTGCACGCCTGTCTGAATGACAGAGTGAGACCCCAGTTCCTTTTTTTTTTTTTTTTTTTTTTTATTAAGACGGGGTTTCACCATGTTGGTCAGGCTGGTCTTGAACTCTCGACCTCAGGTGATCTGCCCACCTTGGCCTCCAAAGCGCTTGGATTACAGGCGTGAGCCACCACGCCCAGCCTTACCCCAGCTCCAAAAAGAACACCATTTGGTGATTATAGCTATTACAGTCAGCCCTCCATATCCATGGGTTCTCCATCCTTGGATTCAACCAATTGTAGATGGAAAATATTCAAGGAAAAAAAACCTAATAAATTAAAAGCAATACAGTATAACAACTCTTTACATAGCATTTATATTGTATTAGGTATGATAAGTAATCTAGAAATGATTAAAAGTATTTGGGAGGACAGGGGTATGTTATGTGCTAATATTACTCCATTTTATTTTAAGGGATTTGAGCATCCATGGACTTTGGTATCTGTAGGGGTCCTAGAACCAATCTCCACGGATATGGAAGAACACCTGTATTTTGATTTAATATGCTCAATGATATATAACCATTTAAGATCTTTAGGGAAAAATATTTCTTATCTAATTTTGAAAGAAACTTCATCACTTAGCATAGCCAAGATTGTATTCAACTGCATGCTTTGGCTGTTCACTGACTAAATTCCACTGAACAAAAACTAGAAGCAACAAGGTAGGCTGAAGAATATGAAGAGTAATTTATTAAAGTTTGAAAAGCTTGGCGCTCTTATTTACTAAATGAACTTCACTTCTGAGTGTGACCTCTAATCTTGTCTCTTTGCTACCTCTAAATTGTGGCATGTCTTCCTTCTCTTCCTTCACTTCCATATGAGAGCTAAGCTCTCTGTGTTCTTGACGACATTCCCACCTTTACCAAGGCCCTACTTCAATTTCTCTCTCAAACTTCTTGCTACCTTCAAAAGCAACCAAGTCTCCTTATAAAGTCTTTCAGTGATTATAATGCTTTCTTAGTCATAACTGTTACCATTTCATTACATTTATTTATTTATTTTTTAAGATGGTCTCTATCGCCCAGGCTGGAGTACAGTGGTGCGATCACAGCTCACTGCAGCCTTGACCTCCCAGACTCAAATCATTCTCCTGCCTCAGCCTCTGGAGTAGCAGGGACTACAGACACGTGCCACCGGCAAGACTAATTAAAAATATTTATTTTGTAGAGACAGAGTCTCCTTCGGTTGCCCAGGCTGGTCTTGAACTCCTGGGTTCAAGTGAAAGTTCTGGGATTATAGGGGTGAGCCACTGAGCCTAGCCCTAAATTTCTCAGCGAGTAGCGTAACTTGATTTCCCCTTAAGATGAAAACAGCTTTTTGTTTTTTTTTTCATTATAAAACAAAAATTACCCCAGTCAGAAAATGGCAGAGTGAAAACCTTTTTGCCCTTCCTTCTCTCAGAAGTCAGTCCAATCAACAAGAAAATATGAGAAAAATCACAAACCTCTTCTTCAATGAAACGAACAGATATCTATAACCAAAGTCATAAAAAAGAAGTACAGAAAATCAATGAACAATAACTGACTCAGCAGCAGAGATACAGGAGGCATCAGGCACAGAGGTAATACAGATAAGACGCAAGTCAACAGAGCAGGTAAAGTTCAGGACCCACAGGCACTGAGTGCTACCGAAAGTGTGGGTGGAGAACAGGGTGCAACATGGGAGATAAGGTGACATTCTGCCTAAGAGCAGGTAGATTTCTGTTTCTTATCCCACATCTAGAGGAAATTGGACACTTATTATTTGGAGAAACTGAACCAGATGGGCTTGGGATTTTAAATAGCGGAAAGAGCGAGGGTAGAGGAGAAGATTGGGCCTAAACAACAGCAACAAATAAAAGTTCCTTGCTCTCTTCTGCCATCCAGCTCCCAGAACTCCAGGAGCTAGATTTATACCTCCCTAACAGAAGAGTGAAAAACACTTCTCTGGAAAAGAGAATGGCCAAAGAGAAAAGACCTATCAAAGCTGACAGCTGGGAATCCTCCAAAATAAAGCTGGAAGACCACCCAACCATGCAGTGAAGCATACACGTCCACAGGCCCTGCCTACTCACACACAGCTTCCAGGAAGCATAGTTGTATACTCTAAACTAGGAAAGAACACTCATGGGTCATCAGACTTGATATGGTTTGCCTGTGTACCCACCCAAATCTCACTTTAAATTGCAATAATCCCTATGTGTCAAAGGCAGGGCCAGGTGGAGATAACTGAATCATGAAGGCAGTTTCCCCCATACTGCTCTCATGGTAGTAAGTCTCATGAGATCTGATGGTTTTATAAATGGGAGTTCCCCTGCAGAAGCTCTCTTGCCTGCCACCATGTAAGATGTGACTTTGCTCCTCATTCACCTTCTGCCATGATTGTGAGGCCTCCCCAGTCATGTGGAACTGTGAGTCAAACCTCTTTCCTTTATAAATTACCCATTCTTGGTTATGTCCTTATTAGCAGCATGAGAACAGACTAAAATGACTTTTGAGGAAGTTTCTAACATATATGAAATAACAAAACATACAGAACTTGGAGAAAACAACTATGGAAAGAGCAGACACTAAAACTGACTTCTTTCAAGTCAAGAGAAGATATTACAACTATGAATAAGTAAGATGCTATGAAAAGGAGGTGGGGCTAGGGCAGTGGCTCACAACTGTAATCCCAGCACTTTGGGAGGCCGAGGTGGGCAGATCACCTGAGATCAGGAGTTTGAGAACAGCCTGGTCAACATAGTGAAACCCTGTCTCTACTAAAATACAAAAATTAGCTGGGCATGGTCATGGTGCTTGTAATCCCAGCTACTTGGGAGGCTGAGGCAGGAGAATTGCTTGAACCCAGAAGGCCGAGGTTGCAGTTAGCTGGGATTGCATCCCAGTACTCCAGTACGGGTGACAAGATCCAAACTCCTTCTAAAAATAAATAAATAAATAAATGAAAGGGCAGACAACTAGAATAAGATTTTTTTTTTTTGAAATTAAAAATATGATTGCTGAAATAATTTTTTTTTTTTTTGAGACAGAGTCTTGCTCTGTCCCCCAGGCTGCAGTGCAGTGGTGCAATCTCAGCTCACTGCAACCTCCGCCTCCTAGGTTCAAGCAATTCTCTGCCTCAGCCTCCCGAGTAGCTGAGATTACAGGTGCCCACCACCATGTCCAGCTAATATTTTTGGTAGAGACAGGGATTCACCATGTTGGCCAGGCTGCTCTTGAACTCCTGACCTTGTGATCCACCCGCCTCAGGCTCCCAAAGTGCTAGGATTATAGGTGTGAGCCACTGCGCCCAGCCAATAATTTTTTTTTCTTGAGACAGGGTCTCACTCTGTCACCCACGCTGGAGTGCCGTGGCATGATCTCGGCCCACTGCAACCTGTTTCCCAGGGCTCAAGTGATCCTCCCACCTCAGCCTTCCAAGTAGCTGGGACTACAGGCACGTGCCACCATGCCCGGCTAATTTTTGTATTTTTTTGTAGAGATGGAGTCTTGCCATGTTGCCTAGGCTAGTATCAAACTTCTGGGCTTAAGCAATCTGCCCACTTCTCCCAAAGGGCAGGGATTTCGGGCGTGAGCCACTGCACCTGGCCTGAAATAAAATATTTAATAGAAAAGTTGGTGGGTATGCTTAGGAACTGATACAGGAAATAGGAAAAAATGGTGAACTAGACAGAAAAGACAAGAACATTAGAGATTAATACAGGCATTTCATAGAAAATAACAAAATGGATGGGGGAAATTATCAAATAAACTATATTAGAAAATTTCCCATAAGGACAGGCACCTCCATACTGAAAGAGCCCACTCAATGTCAAAGTACATTATTCTAATTTTAGAAGCCTAGAGATAAAGAGGAGATACTAAGTCTTTCTGAAAGGGAAAATTCATGCTCACCATGGAAAACCCAAACCAGGCATAAAGTTTCAACAAAAAAGCAAATATATCCATAATCCCATCCCCCAGCAGTAACCATTTTAACATTCTCAGTATCTCTATACATGTATATGGATGGCAAGGATGCATTCCCACAGCATAGTGACGGCAGACATTAGAAACATGGTTGAGTCCAGTTTCTGTTTTGTACTAGCCATATAACCTTGAAACATCAGTTCATTCACATGTAAAATTGAGGTCCTAATGCCATCTATTTCATTGGGCTGTTCGGGATTACACAGCATAATGCACAGGTATTCAGCTCAGGTCCTAAATGTGTTAAGTACTCAATATATGTTAACATATATGTTCATTTTTTTCTTTTTTTAAAAAAAGAAACGAAGACTACATATGTTGTTTCGTTAAAGCACCGAAGCCAGTTTTATTGGCTTTACAGTTTTCTTCATAAGAAATCACAGAATACCTCCGTCTCTAGCCCAATGTTACTACAAAGTAAAGAGATTTTTGTGAGCAAATATAATTTTCAGGAGGAAAACTAATGTTTCAAAGTGAAAAGGGAACCACATGTCAGATACAGGTGAAACTCAACAGACCATGAAGTTACAGAATGATTTGATGTCTTCACCCAAAGAACAAGTTTACACGCAAAACAGGTTTTCTTTTGCAAGGCTTACCAACTTTTATGTCACAGGTACCAGTCAATCAAGTGTGTCTGGATTTTAGGTTAATTGTTTTTATGTGTGCTAATGATACAGATGTCCATAAAATAAAGTTAAAAATATCACTGCCCTAGTTGAGTTTTCTACACATTTACCTGTACTTAATTAATGTAGGCTGGGTGCTGTGACTCACACCTGTAATCCCAGCACTTTGGGAGGTAGAGGTGGGTGGATCACCTGAGGTCAGGAGTTCGAGACCAGCCTGGCCAACATGGCGAAAACCCATCTCTACTAAAAATACAAAAATTAGCCAGGCACGGTGGCACATGCCTGTAGTTCCAGCTACTTGGGAGGCTGAGGCAGGAGAATGGCTTGAACCTGGAAGGCTGCCGCTGCAGCGAGCCAAGATCGTGCCATTGCATTCCAGCCTGGGTGACAGAGCCAGACTTCGTCTCGGGGCAAAAAAAAAAAAAAAAAAAAAAAAGGAGTTAACGCAATAAAAACTTCTGATTAGTTACGGTTTTGTATCTATCTCAGAATTAGAGCTTTATATAAATTTCACATAGCTATTCTTTTGCTAGAAAACTGTAAGTTCGTGCTCAAGAAATCCTACTTTTATAAAATGTAATTTTTTGCCCTATCAATATATGGTTCAGAATGTCATCAGATGTTTTAGTCTTTAAAGGCAGAAGAACATTTTTCTATTTATATTTGTCTAAAAATTACAAAAATTAATATTAGTACTGAATATGGTCGATGATGTTACCATCATGCATTGTCAGATGGACATTTGTCTGTGCTGTTCCTAAGAGAAGAATGGGAGTTCCAAAAAGCTTATAAGTTATGGCAGCCAGTCCTCTCTGTTTCTTTATTAACTTTCAGTGTACTGTTTATATCTTTTTGTTTGTTTGTTAGTTTTCGAGACAGGGTCTCACTCTGTTACCCAGACTGGAGTGCAATGGTACAGTCTCGGCTCACTGCAACCTCTGCCTCCGAGGTTCAAGTGATTCTCCTGCCTCAGCCTCCCCAGTAGCTGGGATTACTGACATGCCACCACACCTGGCTAATTTTTGTATTTTCAGTAGAGACAGGGTTTCACCACGTTGGTCAGGCTGGTCTCAAACTCCTTGACCTCGAACGACCCGCCCGCCTCAGCCTCCCAAAGTGCTGGGATTATAGGCATGAGCCAACATGCCTGGCCTCACCATGTTGTCCAGCCTGGTCTCGAACTTTTGGCCTAAAGTGATCTGCCCGCCTCAGCCTCCCAAAGTGCTGGGATTATAGACGTGAGCCACTGTGCCTGGCTTTTTGTTTTTTTTTTTGGAGATAGAGTCTCGCTCTTATCACCCAGGCTGGAGTGGAGTGGTATGATCTCAACTCACTACAACCTCCACCTCTTGGGTTCAAGCGACTCTCCTGGCTAATTTTTTGTATCTTTAGTAGAGATAGGGTTTCACTGTGTTAGCCAGGATGGTCTCGATCTCCAGACCTTGTGATTCCCAAAGTGCTGGGATTACAGGCATGAGCCACTGTGCCTGGTCGTTATATATTTTTCTTTTACAAAATAACAGTCTTCCAAATTTCGTAACCATTACAGAAATAACAAGTGGCTCTCAGAAGCTGCAGATAGATATATTTTTTTAAAACACATGCATTTAATCATATACTTTTTGGCGTACATAAAATCTTAATAATTACCGAGAAAGTAACTGCTTAAAAATAACCCTATGCTATGGAGAGATCTTGTTAGAAAAAAGATACTCAGAATTTCTTTCATCAGCATTTGATTCTGTTATTAAAAAAATGAGAGATATCAAACTTTCATATACTTTAAAGAGAATTTTCTAATCTCTTCCAGAAGCTTCTTTGAACCAAAATTCTAAAATAGAAAAAAATTCACATTTCTTTCAATAAAAATAACTACTAATTTTAGTGAGTGAAAAATTATTTTTATTGTTATAAAGACTAAAGATGAGTATTTTGAAAACAAGCTTTGGAATTTTGTCCATACATGTAAAACCTGAATGCAAAAAAAAGTGTAGGTTCTTAATCTGAACGAGTTGTTCCAGATAGCCTATCATTAATTCTTAAAATTTTATGAAAACTTTGTATAAATGAGGTAGAAGAGGAAATGATAAGGTGGCTTCAAGAATAATTTTAAGGGACCCAAAAATCAAAGGTGATAGTTTGAAAGATGCTGACAAATCAAAGATCTTTGATTGTAGCTGCAAAAATGCTTTTTAAAAAGAAGGTGAAAGAATCACTTGGGAAAAGGCTGCTTTGGCTCGATTCAATAATTAATTTTTTATGAAGGCAGCTATGTGACATTGCCCTGGGGAGTACAGAATGACATCTTTTTTTTTAAAAAAGTCATATTTCTTAATGAGCAAAAAGCAAATATTTAAAAAGCAAGTTTACATAAAAGCCTTCTCAAGAAAACAAGTTCCTAGATTCTGCCACTATTTGGTCCCAGATTCTACCACAAATTACAATGACAATGATAACAGAATGAGTGTCCATTATGTCAATTTTCACTACAAAATATTTAAATAATATTTAGTAATACTGACTAAGGCTGAAAAGGTGATTTTAATTCAAGATTTCTACAGAAAACAATTAAAATCCAATAATTAAAAGGATAAGCTTCCTTTATCTGGAAATTCATAGTATTCTCTACGATGTTGGATAACAGCATTATTGCATACATTAATTATTCACTGAACTACTTATGTCTACAATGCTGACATACATCTAAGACCACAATTAATGTAAACACTACACTGGAATAAATTTGATCTTATAAAGACTAATTCAGTATACTACATTAATAATGCACAAATATATTATTAATATGGTAGTAATTAAGCCTGATTATTTTCCCTACCAAATTCATGATTCCAAAGTTTACCTGCCATCATGTGCCCAAAAACTCCTTGAAAGCATTCTGATCATAGTCCGTGTATTTGAGTTGGATTCTGTAGAAACGTTTAGGCTCCACAAACGGAAGTCAACGGATAGCAGATAACGGATGAACTCCTTGGAATGTTAAGAAAAAAATGTGAAAATGGGTTTATTTGTATGAAAAAATATCTGACTAAAAAACAAATGTTTTTCTCATTACAAAAGTAATACAGGTTCATTTTCCAGTAAATATTTTAAAGTATCTCCTTTTTTCATGCTACTGAGCCAGGGACTTAATGGCAATTTTCTAAAAACGAATCATCAATTTAGAAGCACTGCACCCTCCTTTCCCTTTCTCCCCACTTTTTCCACTTTCTTTCCTAAGTATAGTTTGCTTATGTCACTTTTGCCCACTCTGTACTCTTGTGGACGCTAGTTCCGAAAGATGTTAACACATATTCTGGAGAAAAAAAGCTTCTCTTGTCAAATAAGTTTGGGAAATGCTTCTTCTCTCAAAGATTACAGTGCATATTTAGCAAGCGTTCCCAAGAGATCCCTCAGTAAAGAAATCTGTATAAGCCATAGCTTCCTATCTTTACTTTGCCACAAATCCTTTTGTGGAACAAATATTGGGGAAACATTAATGGGCTAATCTGTTAACATGAGTGTACATTACCTAAGCTTTAGCTAAAGATAAGGAGAGATGTCTTGGAACCCCTATCACTGAAGAGGCTAATTTAGAGTGAAGAAAACAGAAAACTATGAGCTGGCAGTACCTGAACTTCTAAAAGTAGAAGGAAGATTAACAGAATTTAGAAACAGAATATTTAAGATATAGTACTGTAACACTTCATGGAATAAATTAGATTGAACAGATTTTTTTCTTCTAATCTGTAATTTTCTATGATAAAAACAATATATGCTCATTGTATAATACATGGACCAGTCAGAAAAGTTTAAAAAGGAGGGGAAAATAGCTATAATTCCATTACTTAAAAGCAGGCAATTTTGACATTTTGGCCTATTTCTTGTTCTTTTTTCTTATAAGACCAATAAAACATAAAGAGAAAATTTTAAAGTTTTAAAGATCTGTAAAAAATTAACAACCTATACTGTTTTTCACTATACTATGTTTAAAAATAAGCATGGTGAAGATGAAATAGTGTGAGCTGTGAAATTGTCAAATATGGGCTAAAATTCAGACTTTGCACTCACTAGGTATGTTACCTGCTTAAAAAAAAAATCTAATTTAGCTTAAGATCCCCCACTGTAAAATCTGGATAATGCCAGCCACTTCATGTTTTTACTGCCAAGAATAAAATGTATGAAAATAACATACACTGAACTTAATGAAAACAAATATTGGCCGCTTCCTAGTATTACTCAGATCTTTCCATGATTAAAAATGAGGGATGGGAAAGTAGCAAAATTAAGAAAAAGGAGAAGGGAAACAAAGATTACATGTAAGGCTAAAAATTCTGCAGAAAAATGTGCCTCAGAAATGTGAAATCAAGGAAGCTCAAGCATTTCTGAAGTATCACAAATTACCATATTATTCCTGATGTTAAATATATTCTTTTAAAAAGTTTTAAATTCTTTAACAGAAAAATTGTAGCTTTTTAAAAGCTAACTTAGTAGATTTAAATAGAAAAGAGGCAAAGGTTTTACAAAATTTTATTATATTCTCTTCACTGCTTCATAACAATTACATATGCTTACATTTAAATTTGGGTAACAAGTTTTACCTACAAATTAGTAAAAGGTGATCTCTGGGCTGGGCACAATGGCACAAGCCTGTAATCCCAGCACTTTGGGAGGCCAAGGCAGGTGGATCATGAGGTCAAGATATCAAGTCCATCCTGTAGTCCCAGCTACTTGGGAGGCTGAGGCAGGAGAATCACTTGAATCCAGGAGGCGGAGGTTACAGTGAGCCGAGATCACACGACTGCACTCTGGCCTGGCAACAGAGTGAGACTCCATCTCAAAAAAAAAGGTGACTTTAGACATTATGTTTTTGGTTTTTTTTTCTTTTATGTATTTATTTTTGTTTTTTAAAGACGGCGTTTCACCATGTTGGTCAGGCTGGTCTTGAACTCCCGACCTCAGGTGATCCGCCCACCTTGGCTTCCAAAGTGCTTGGATTACAGGCGTGAGCCACCACGCCCAGCTGACATTATGTTTTACTACATTCTAAATTTTGTGGCAACAACTATGGTTTGAAGAATCAGTGTGGTAGACTACTTGGACTAGGTGAGAGACCTGGGTTCTATTTCCAGCTCTGACATTTCAAAGTTGTGTGAGATAAATCAAAACTTTTCTGCCTTAGTTTTCCTATCTGTAAAACACTGATTATCTCGTCTTGCCGTAGTAAGGATCTAGTGTTAATGTAATATAAGAATCAAATACTGGCTGTCTTTTAGCCAGGGGAACTGGGTAGCTGGGAGTATGAGTGGGGGGGGACTTTTACTGTATTGCCTTTTATATCATATGAAGTTTACATACAGACAAGTACTATTTACAAAATAAGTAACACTTTACCCCCAAATTATTAAATAGGCTAGGAAGTTTCAGGACACATTCAGAAATACAAAAATCTTAGCATTTCTAAAGTGCCTTCAATGTTCCTTTTTTAATATTTTGGTCTCCTTAGCTATTGTTACACTCTTCTAGCCTTACCTTTCACAAGATTAATCACTTTTGCACCAAGTACATATTTTAATAGAAAATTATTTTTAAAACTCCTTCCATAAGCCAGTACTGGTATATCCTCTTAGATAAGCTCTGTAAGATCACTTGATTTTACATAGGTAATACCATCATCGGTAGAACGGCAAATGTACCCATGTTTTCTCACTCAATGGCCCTTGACACCAACAAAATTAGTGAGCCTAAGGGTAGTATAAGTGGTTACAACACAGCAAAGCTGCAATTCAATCTGTGACTTTGGTATCATTTTCAGTCAGCTCAAATAGCCACCCACACCTATGAGATAAGCACTGTTAATGATAAATAATTCTATTTGGAAAATTTTTGATATTCAGTAACATGGCTACACTGAGTTCTTTTTTAAAAACTGTATTATTTTAACTAACTAGACAAGTTTGCTAATATTTAAGTTACACATCTTTCATTACTGCACTATCATCTTGTCCTATTGTATGAATGTCTAGTTCCCTCCACAAGACCATAAATTCACTGAAGGTATTACCATTTGCAGACATTTGACTGAAATAAATGGAATTGTGAAAGCATTATACTAGCAAAAGCAAGAATACATTTTTTTAACATTTGAAAAATCTACTGGATAATTATTGAAACATATCCCACTTTAAACAAAAACCACTAAATACCCATCCAAAGTACCCCTTTAATAACATGAGACATTAATAACAATTACTTTTACATATCCATGAGTATCTCCTATATACTCTAACAATGCAGTGGAGGTAGGTGTCATCTGCATTTTAGAGATGAGGAATTCGATTTTCAGTAAAGGAACATATTCAAGGTCACATAAGTGCCAGGTAGAATTAAAACCTAGGACTGTAGAACTCGGAGGCTCAAGCTCTTATCATACATGCGAAATCTGCAAAGAAAATTGTTCTTTAACGTATGAATCAAATGGTTTGATTGATAAGAGAAAAAGACAGATGTGTGGACACCAATCATAGTCTTAAAGTCACATGGATATTATAGATACTACAGTGAAGGCATTTTATAGCTATAACTTGTTCTAATTTGGAGATTCTTCTTATGCTGAGCTCTGAATAGTACTAACCAGAAATCTCCCCCTGCTTTATTCAACATAGAGTTGACTATTATGTGAGTTCATCTTGAACTCCACGTAGTTTAACCAATGACAGCAAGTTACTTGAACAAAGCATTTATAAACCGGTCTATCCAAAAAACAAATGATCTCCAAAGAAAAATTAGGTCACTCAGAAAGCATCATCTCAGGTACCATTGCTCTTTCGGGAAATCAACGGTGGGTTATTTTCCCACAAATCCCGAGTTCTTTTTAAGCAGTCATTCTTCCCCTTCATTCATATACAAACCTCTGCGTCTAGCAAGGCTATCTGGAGCTCTAGTACTAAAAACAACGCCTCACACAATGCCATCAAGGTAAGAACACGACGGTTTGCCTGTGTGCTTGCAACTTTTCACAATGGAACTACATTGAAAAAAAAATAGGGAAACCTCTTCAACAGAAGAAAACATCTCACTTAGGTCATCAACTAAATGTGATTGGTACTGGAAGGTATCACAAAAACATTGAAAAATTCTCAAAGATAAGTACGAACGAAAGAATATCATTCTGAAGATTTTCATCAGAGGCTGGTGTACCAATCTGGAGAATGTTAGTGGCCAAGACTCTAGCAGATACTGCATGGATCAAATGTAAGCACTCAACGCAGTTAAGTTATAACACTTCTTTTGGTTCTAAACATTCACTTCAGTAAACTTTAGGTAGGCTCTGAATAGAGAACACAAGTTACTTTCTTCAAAAGGGGTATATAGAATCGCAAGGAATAAACATTAATGTATATACCCCATACCTTCAGGGACCAAGAGTAACCAACCAGAGCTGAAATTAAGTCATTCCTCCTTTATCTCTACAGAAGCGACAAGGTGAGGGCACGAATGATGCCAAGATTAGAGGCTCGAAAAGATCTCGCCTTCTTCTCCAGAGAAGATGCTCAAAGATCTGTCTGCTAACTGGGCCCCAAGAAGGGACCGGATCCTTTTAGGAATCCGGGTATTGTGGCCCGGGAGGAGACCCTGGAGTGCAGGAACAAGACCCCGGCCTACGAGACCAGCAGCGGCCACCCTTCCCCCACTCACCTCCTGGAGCGCAGCTTAACTGGGGTTGCCAGAGTAACTGCTGCCATCACCATCGCCATCACTCAGGGCGCTTGCTTAAGTGGGGAGGGGAGGCCCAACCACTCCGGCACCTCGTGTGGGTCTTACAAAGCAGATACCTTTCTGCCACCCCTAATCCCGCTTCGGCGTTCTGGTCCCATCCTAGCCGTCACAGTCATTGCCTCAGCCAGGTCCCTGGGCGCCGCCACCACTTCCGTGTTCAGCTCATTCCCTTCCTCCCTTCCTCCCTTTCTCCCTTCCTCCCTCCTCCCTCACTGCCCAGGAGACCGGCTAATTTCCACGCGGAGGGCGCCGCCGCTGACGCCACCACTCCGCGACCTCTGGCGGGACCTGCGTTGGGAGTGGGCGGGTCGGCGCAGGCGCATTTTGGTGAGCGAGCCGAAGCGCGGGAAGCGGCTGTTGAGGAGCCTGGGTCGCGGAGGCTCGGTCACCCGGGTGAGTTCCCACTCTGGCTGCCCTCTCCCGCCAAGGACATGCGTGTTCTTTTCCCGGCTTATTGTCTGACAGACCCTCCGCCTTATCCTGCTGGTGTCACTCGGGAGGGGAAACCGGGCTGCGGAGAGCGTGCCCTGGAGGAGACTAAGCTGTCTTTCGATCCCCAGCCTCGCTGCTTTTCTCTCATTTCAAATAATAAGACTGGCTTTTATAAAACATTTTCAGGTAGATAAAGGGAAAGATGCCGGCCACACGGAAGCCAATGAGATATGGACATACAGAGGGACACACGGAGGTCTGTTTTGATGATTCTGGGAGGTAAGGTCTTTGAAAAACAGAACGTTACAGGTGCAAATGTTAAAACATTTATCCGTAAACATTATGTATGCAGTCGGCCGAAAATGACTCATGTGGATAGAGAGGAATAATGTTGAAATCTAAAATGGCACACATATTTCTTTAGATTTATTGTTTGATTCGGACCGTCATGGTAATTTTAGTATACCAACAAAGTTAAAAATCGTACTTCAGAGGATGACAAGGTGCGAGGTTCTCCCCACATATTTTCCCTTTCTCTGCGCCTCACATTATTAATTTTGTCAGATCACAAGATACTGCCTATTTGTCAAGTTCGATGGCCTGTTGTGTTTGGAATGTTATCCTTACATGGCTAAATGATTCTATTTCCTTTTTTTTTTTTTTCCTTCTAACTTTTTGACGGCTTAAAAAAAATTTTTTTTTTCCTCTGCTTGATTCCTAAACTGTAATATCTTCCTATGGTTATTCTGGTCCCTTTTATCTTTCCAAGTCCCATTCTTAGGCAGTACTGCTTGATTGCACGGGTTTCACTGTCATTCCTATGTTGATTGATTCATTGAAAAAATATTTGTGTGTCCTTTTTGCTGACTACTAGAGATAGAATAGAGCCAACCAGGCTGGGCACGGTGGCTCACACCTGTAATCCCAGCATTTTGGGAGGCCGAGGCAGGTGGATTCCCTGAGGTCAGGAGTTGGAGACAAGTCTGGCCAACATAGTGAAACCCCGTCTTACTAAAAATACAAAAAAATTAGCTGGGCATGGTGGCGTATGCCTGTAATCTCAGCTACTTGGGAGGCTGAGGCAGGGGAATTGCTTGAACCAGAGAAGTGGAGGTTGCAGTGAGCTGAGATTATGCCACTGCACTCCAGCCTGGGTGACAGAGCGAGGATTTCGTCTCAAAAAAAAAAAAAAAAGAAATAGAGTGAACCAGGCTTTTTGTCCTCTATCGAGCTTAAGTTCTTTTTGGATTGATAGGCATTGAGCACAAATTAATAACAATAAATGTGTATTTAGAAATAGTAATACATGCAGTCATAAACATGTATGAGGAGAAGGTCATCTAAGTTAAAGGAGTCGTGGAAGGCTTCTTTGAGGAGGTGTTTCTTGAGAGGCCATCTGAAGACTGATTAGGCAGTAAGCCGTATAAAGAGATGAGCGGTGGTGGCGGTAGGGTAGTGAGTGATGGCATATTCTGCAGAGGCAACACCGTGTGTAAAGGCCCAAAAGGGCCAGGGATCATGATGTGCTCAAAGAACTGAAAGAAAACTAGCCTTGCTAAAATGTTGAGAGTGATTCACAGTTTGATGAGAGATGAATCTGTGAGGGTAGACCATGATGTCCTATCCAAGACCTGGATTTTATTAAGGAGTCTTGTTTTATCCTAAAAGCACTGAGAAGGTATTAAAGGCTTGAAGCAGAGAGATGTGATCAGATTAGTTTTTGAGAAAAGGCATGGAGGATGAATTGGCAGAGGAGCACTCATGGATGCAGAAAGACTGTTAGAAGATACCTGTATTTGTTTGGGTAAGTGTGATGGAAGCTTGGACTAGAGTAAACATAGTTGTGTAGAAAAGAGGAAACATTCAGGAAATATTTAAAAAGATAAAGTCAACAGGATAGATCAGATATTAAGGCTGGAGAAAGAGGCCTCAGGGATAATGTCTACGTTTATGGATGTTACAGTTGAGACAGTGATGCTTCCATTTGCAAGTAACAGCAACACTTGAAGAAAGGCATATTTCAGAGGTAGAACTGTGGGTGGAGATTGAGTTTACATTTGATAAGATTTTTGTAGGATTTCTCTGAGATACTCAACTAGAGGGGTAGACAGTAGGATAAATGGATCTTAAGCCTGGAGAAAAATGTGAGCTAGAGATAGAAATATACAGCTGACCCTTAAACAACATGAATTTGAACTGTGTATGTCCACTTATTCATGGATTTTTTAAATACACATATTAGAAAATTTTGTGGCAATTTCTAATAATTTGAAAAAATAGCAGATGAACCATATAGCCTAGAAATGTGGAAAAATTAAGAAAAAAAAAATGTCATGAGTGCATAAAGTATATGTAGCTACTACTCTATTTTATCATTTCTTACCATAAAATATACACAAATGTATTATAAAAAGTTAAAATGTATTAAAACTTACACAAACATTTCCAGACCACCTGCAGTCAAGAGATGTAAACAAACATAAAGATGTGTTAAATCATAACTGCATAAAATTAACTGCAGTATGTACTGTATTACTGTAATAATTTCATAGTCACCTCCTGTTGCTGTTTTGGTAAGCTTAAGGGTATCTGCTTAAAACACTGTATGATGCTGATATAGCTGTTGTATCTGCTAAAAACATTGTATGATGTCATATCTGCTAAAAACACTGTATGATGCTTATGAGCAGTTTGTCTCTCCAGTAAATTGCCTATCCCAGTGAAAAGACATCTCTGTTGTCTTTTCCTCATGTTTAGTACAATACCGTAAACCTTGAATAACATCATGGGAATCATATGAAGTGTAACTAGTGATGCTGGACATACTCCCAAGAAGCAGAGAAAAGTCATGACATTAAGAGAGAAAGTTGGATTGCTTGATATGTCCTATAGATTGAGGTCTGCAACTGCAGTTGCTCACTATTTCAAGATAAATGAATCCAGTGTAAGAACCACTGTGAAAAGGAAATTTGAAACACTTACTTCAGCTACGCCAGCAGACATGAAAACCTTGCACCTTTTGTGAAATAACTATTTTGTATTGACAATGCAGCTTTTAGGTGGGTATAGGATTGCAATAGAAAGGCATAGCCATAGACTCTAATGTGGTTCCAGAAAAAGTGAAGTCATTATATGACAACTCAAAAGTAAAAGGAAGGTGAAGGATCTAAGCCTGGAAAGTTTAATACCAGCAGAGGATGGTTTGATAATATCTGAAAGAGATTTGGCTTAGAAAATGTCAAGATGGCTAGGCGTGTTGGCTCATGCCTGTAATCACAGCACTTTGGGAGGCCGAGGTGGGTGGATTACCTGAGGTCAGGAGTTCGAGACCAGCATGGCCAACATGCTAAAATCCCGTCTCTACTAAAAATACAAAAAATTAGCTGGGCACAGTGGCAGGCACCTGTAGTCCCAGCTACTCAGGAGGCTGAGGCAAGAGAATTACTTGAACCTGGGAGGTGGAGTTGCGTTGAGCTGAGATTGCGCCGTTGCACTCCAGCCTGGGTAGCAATAGCGAAACTCTTTAAAAAAAAAAAAAAAAAAAAAAGATAAAGAAAAAATATCAATATTAACAGTAGAATCAACTTCTGCTGACCAAGAGTTCCCAGACAGATTTCCAAACCCCATTAGGAAAATAATTGAGGAGAAAGGACATCTGCCTGAAGGGCTTTTTGTTTGTTTTGTTTTGTTTTTTTGAGATGGAGTCTGGCTCCGTTTCCCAGGCTGGAGTGCAGTGGCGCAACCTTGGCTCACTACAACCTCCACTTCCCGGGTTGAAGTGATTCTTTTACCTTAGCCCCCTGAGTAGCTGGGATTACAGGCACGTATCACCACACCCAGCTAATTTTTCTGTTTTTTTTTTTTTTTTTTTTTGAGACGGAGTTTTGCTGTTGTTACCCAGGCTGGAGTGCAATGGCGCGATCTTGGCTCACCGCAACCTCCTCCTCCTGGGTTCAGGCAATTCTCCTGCCTCAGCCTCCTGAGTAGCTGGGATTACAGGCACGCGCCACCATGCCCAGCTAATTTTTTTGTATTTTTAGTAGAGACGGGGTTTCACCATGTTGACCAGAATGGTTTCAATCTCTTGACCTCATGATCCACCCGCCTCGGCCTCCCAAAGTGCTGGGATTACAGGCGTGAGCCACCGCGCCCGGCTAATTTTTCTATTTTTAGTAGAGACGAGGTTTCACCATGTTGGCCAGGCTGGTGAACAGGTTTTTAATACAGACAAAAGTGCCCCATTTTGGGGGAAAAATGCCACAAAGGACATTTATTAGTGAGGAGGGGAAGTGAGCACCAGGACTTAAGGCAGGAAGGCTAACTGTAATGTTTTGTGCAAATACAGTCAGGTTTATGATCAGAACTGCCCTTATTTATAAAGCTGCTAACCCCTGAACCTTGAAGGGAAAAGCCACCAGTCTCTTAGTTGTATAACAGGAAGACCTAGACAATGCGAACCTTTTTTTCTGGATTGATTTCACTGATGCTTTGTGCCTGAAGTCAGAAAGTATCTTGTTAGTAAGGGACCGCCTTTAAAATTTTTCTGATGTTGAGCAATGTTCCTGGCCACCCAGAACCCCATAAATTCAGTACTGAAGGTGTCAAAGTGGTATACTTGCCCCCAAACACAATGTCTCTTGTTTTGCCTCTAGATTAGGAGTTCATACAGACATTTACAGCCTCATTTCACGAGCTAATCTATGGGAAAGATTGTTACTGCTATGGAAGAGAACCCCAATAGAGAGAACATCATGAAAGTCTGGAAGAATTACACCATTGA